GCTCGGCAGAAAAAGTAGCTGGAAAATTTGAAACCTCTGCCGGGGAAAGGGATGGAACCTCGGTAGTCGATATCATTGTAGGTCCTGGAGCAGGTAGAGAAAGGGGAATCTCAAGAGTTGTTAAGGTAGGAATCTCGACCTCTGCTAGAGATGAGCTCAGGGCCAGTGCCTCGAAGACGAGGTCAACTGAGAAGGAAGCAACCTCAGGAACAGGAGGGGGAACATTGTTGAGCTCAGAGTCGGCCGCCTTATCCTCAGCAGGGGGATCAAAATTGAAATCCAGTTCAGGGTAGATCTCTTCAGCCCTGTCCTAAAAAGCAAGCCACCCAGAGGCCTACTAAGTTGTGACATCATCAGCCAGTTTGGCAATTAAGCAATCTTTTTCCTTGACAGTTGCCCTCACCACCTCGAGTTCGTTCCGAAGGACGTCACTCGTCTCCTCAATAATGTCATATTCTCTCTTCATAGTTTGAAAGGAACTTAAAGCTTCGAGAGACTCCCGGCTGGCTCTGAGCCAATCATCTGTTTTCTGCTTAAGTTCCCCTGAGATTTTCCTGAGCTCTTCCTTTGTTTTCTTAAGTTCCTTTTTGCAGCTCTTTCCCTCGCGTGCAATCTTCTCCCTCACATCTTCCAGACTCCTATTTAAGGAGGTCTGCTTCTCCACCTACTCCTACAAATCTTGCACCTGGGCCTTGAGGTCACTGTTCTCAAAAGACAATTCGGTAACCTTGAGTTCAAAAGCCTTGGAAGCTTTAACTGAACCTTCCATGGCTTGGATCCTCTTCAGCAGCCCGCTGACATGGAGGGCAATCTGAAAGTGAGAAAAGGTCAGATGAAAAGGAGCAAAATGAATAAAACATGTATGTACATAAAACATAAAACTTACGGAGATAGCAGCGCAAAGAGCGGTAGATATAGAGCTCCCAAGAGGCATGGTGGAAGCTCGCTGGATGTCAAATTCGGGGAGAATGGAAGCAATGGCCTTTGCGGCTCTTTTCACATTATCAATCAAAGAACTCGAACTTGCTTCTGCATTCCCCACTTTTTCATTCTTACATATCCCAGGAGCCTTTTGAGGAGACCCCACAGTTGGGCAAGAAGGGATGGATCCAGGTAAAAGGTGAGACCAAGCTTAGGTTAGGGACCTTACCAGAGGAGGGCAGTCCCGTCTTCCGAGGAAAGGAGCTCTTTGCAACCTCCGAAAAGCCAAAAGAGGATTAGGGCCCCATTTGAGTTACAGAGGATGATTCCAATCTCGGAGCTTTGACTTTGAAAATTGGATCACCCCCTAGGCTGACCTCAACCTTACGTTTACTTCTAGCCCGAGTCTTCCTCATCATAGATAATTTATCAGAGCGATCCTTCGCAGTAGGCTCCATTAAGGAAGAACTTGAAAAAATCAAGAAAGAACCGTCAAAAAATAAAAAATAAAAAAAGGGAGGGAAAGAGAAGAGGTAAAAGGCAGGGGCAGAGGTGAAAGGGGCAATACCTGTCAATTCTTCAGCACTAATGGCAGAAAGAGGAGATGGATTTTCTACCCTCACTTCAGGAGGACTAAACCCAAGCCTCACAAGGACTTGAGGTCGGATTAGCTCTGAATATCTCTCCGATTTGCAGTTCGCCAAGTTCCTTAGGACCTATTCGTCTGTAGCACTAAGGTCTGGCCAGATGCCTGAGAAACAAAACCAGCAAAACAAGGTCAGCCTAAGGGAAAGCTAGAACTTATTCCAACTTGCATAAAAAGAAGCTCACCCAAGTTTTCAGGGGTAGACCACCCTCGAGGGACTGGAAGAGTGTCCGTCATGTCGGCAAGATTAAACTCCCATTCCCTCCCTCACACGAAAAAGAATAATTTTTTCCAACGTTTGTGGGAGCTCGGGAGATCAGAGATAAGAACCTTGGCTTTCACTCGTTTAGAGATGTACAAAAAGCCATTAGTGGGGAGATATTTGACATTGAAGAATTTCATGAGCAAAGACACGGTGGAGACACCCAGATCATGTTTCTTAAAGAAGACAAGAAACCAACCAGCACCCTCCAAAAGTTAGGAGAAAGCTGGGCAGGGCAGACATTGAAATGTTACTAAACATTTTTAATGAAGGGATGCAGGGGAAAACGGAGGTCATTCTCAAAAGCAGCCAGGAAGAGGCACACTTTTTTAGGGATAAAGGAATCGTATAAGGTAAACATATCCGGACTCTAGAACTAGAGGCCTTGAGGAAACCCAAAGCAGGTAGCTAGCACCTTCGTGTAAGAAGGAACGATGTCACTACACTCCACGAGCTCGGAGGCCCTAAGGGCAGCAACACCACCCTCAGCACTACCTAAAATCCCCACACCACTTACTTTGGTTTTGCTTTTGCTGGGAGATTTCAAGGCAGGAGGAGGCTCTTCAGTGCCTCTCTTGACATTGACAGAATCCACTCCGGGGAAATCATCTATCTCTAACCCCACATCCCCCAGGTCGGAATCTTCCTCAACGGACCTATCTTTCATTAGCGAAACGGACGATCCCGTGGCTTCAGAGGAAGTAGACATAGCTGGACAAGAATAAGGAAGCTTAAAAGACCTATATAGAGGGGGGACCTCGAAGAAACACTCTTTGAGAGCCCAAGGAGCAAGACACTGAAAACCAATGACGAAAATTCTAACTATGGAGTAAGGGTCCAAGAAGAGAGGAAGACGAGACAGGGGAATACTTCGACTCCTAGAGTAACAGAATCAAAAGGCCCAAAAATGCCAAAACCACCTCAGACTTGAGGGATCCAAGGCAAGGAGTAGGGAAAGAAAGGAAAAACGTACCTAATCGAAAATTGGTGACGGATTAAAGCTCAAGGAGGGGATTCAAAACCAAATCACGCTAAGCCTCCAAGTCAAAATTGGGGAAACCGTCCCTCTGAGAAAACCCTAAAACCAACGGCAGAATGGGGAAGATGAAGTCGTGAAAGGATAAGGAAGCTGAAAAGGATCTGTAAAGTGAGGAGCAAATCAGTGATCCAGGGGTATTTAAAGCTAACGGTACCGTGGGCCTCAAAACTGGCAACGTGCGCAAGGAACGAGGAAGGAAATGATTACTGACAACCGCTTTAAAAATAAAAAATATTAATAATAATAATATATATATTCCCGCATAAATTTTGAAATCGCTGATTGGGAAGCCATTACTGTTACATCTTAAGTTCAGTCCTTGTCCAAGCCAGTCCGGCCAAGAGCTGGGGGGCAACTGATGATACTCAGAATGATTCCCGAGTAGGAGCTCGGGAACGGAGGTCAAACATGGAGGTCAAACGTGAAGGTCAGGTATGTTGAGCTCAAAAAGTCAAAGATATGCAGAGCTCAGAAAACCAGAGCTAGAGCTCCCCTCAAGATAATAAGTTGAAGCAATGAGGAAGCAACTGGATACTACAAAGAACTCGACAGGCGGTTTGAAGTAACACTCGAAGGCACAAAATCCTCAATCAACCAAGATACTCTCCTAAGATCAAGGAGAATTCCTTGGATAGATGGCGAGGATCACGGATCAGATCCCATAGATTAAGGGTCACCCCTATAAATACTATGTAACGCCCCCAACAGAGAGGCAGAACCCTAATATCACATCTTACATTCTGTAAACCTTTTGATATAGTAAATAGTGAAGGAATGAGCAAGAATCTTCATTGAATAGTAGATTAGCCGAATTTTCGAGCTGATGAACCACTATGTTTCTACTGTGTTAATTTCCCAACTCCCCAACAATTCTCAGTATCATTCCCTCAAGTCTAGTAGCTCAGATCCCAATAATTTCAATATTGTTTCTTTCATTTACTCGTCATCACAAAATTGCATCATGTTGAAATACACCATCAGTATGTATCATCTAATAAATTGAATTACTGGCCTTCTTTTGGTTTCTTCTCATATGAAAATTGGGGAACGTAACACATCCATACCAACTCCTAATAAATAAACACATAAGACAAGTGGATTTTCTTAGCAACCAAACACAATAGAAAATATCCTAATAATATAAAAACTCATATTACAAAATAATTTATGTAGTAAAGATCAGGACTCTTACCTCAAATGTATCTATCTTCAAAATGATTTTTTTGCCTTGATCGAGATGGGAAAAGAGTGTATACAAGAGATGTAATGAGACTGATCTCCTAATGAAAAAAGATGGACGAGAACTTGTTGACCGTGTATCCTACTTCTGTGTGGAAACTTTAGCCCACTATAAAGAGCATTGCTCCCCTCTTTATGTGAAAGGAAATATGAGAGGGAGACACTAAGAGAAAAAGGGGGAGAATGGCGAGAGAGATGAGAGAAGAAAGACATGGGAGAGAAAAAAATGAGTGACAGCAATAAATAGGAGAAAGAAAAAAGACATTCTGACATTTTTTTATGAGAAGTGAATGTCTTTTTTTTTTAATGTTTAACAAGCGGTCTATTTTTCAACATTAGATGAATCCAACGGTATAAATATAATGCACGTATGGATTAAAAATACAATGGTGTGTGCTTGAACGGGACTAATATATATTGTAATTGAAAAATACATATCAAACCATGTTTGGCTCTTATGTTTTTGGTTTCCAGCAATTTTTTTTATACAAATTAAGTACCGTTATTCAACACTTACTTCAATTTTAGCAAAACAGTGAGTTTTTCAAGAGTGATATATACGACTCCTATTTTATGAATTATATACCTATGCATTTATACACGTGTGCTTAACACATGTGATCAAGCTAAAGAAAAAAAAAAGATAAAAAGTACTTTTAACAAAAGTCGTCAAACGATACCAAACTACTTTAGAAAAAAAAGAAAATTTCGTCATAACAAGTGATGAAGGTACTTCAGCCTTGCAAACGTCCCATTTTACAATTATGTCATATCAATTAGATTCGTGTATTACAAATATTCCAGTGCAAAACCATTACGATAAAATGCAATCATTCCGGGAGACTATAGATTTGACTGCAACCAAACCACAAGGGAGACATCAATTTGCATTTCACCATAATTGCCCATTGATTTCCGATGATGAAGGTAACAGCTTCCCAATATGTTTGTACAAGTATTATGCAGTAATACTAAAGAGCATGTGCTCACTGATCTCATCCAACAAGATGATGCTGTCTTTTATTTTAAAGTGTACAGACAAACAAAAAATAACTCTTCCCTCATTTCCAAGTTATATGAGCTTACTAGCTTGAAGTCTCGTGTAACTTAAGTGTTCCGGTTTCAAGCTTGTAATGAGTTCAAGCTATCATAAGCTAAGGACAAAATCCAAACGGACAAAATAAAGGTAAATCTCAAGTCTAATGGAGATTAAAAATCATCACCATTGCATTATGTACTAAAATTGGGTTTCAGATCCATGGCACGCTGAATAATTTATTTCTGCACAAAAAAGATGCCTGAAATGGAGTGAGGTGAAGCTCATGCAAGACCCCTTTGTTTGAAGACATCAAGCATTGCAACTCCAATTTTGGCTGGAGATTCGACCACCGTCACCCCAGCCTCCCTGAGGGTCTTAATTTTATCTTGTGCTGTGCCCTTTCCCCCAGATACAATAGCTGCATAGCCATAGAAGAAACAACTGAGATATTATTTAATCAAAGAACATAGATTTCAAAGTTAAAATAAGCAGACAATTGCCAAGTATCTTCAACTGTTCCCTTTGAAGAGCAATTAAAGTTAACTGATGTGAGACAATGTCCTAATGTCAAACTTGAATACAAAGAACCATAACCAGTGTCAAACCCCTCATTCAGAATCAAACTTGCCTTTTATAAAAGAGAAAATGATCAATTCACCCAGAAACATAGCATCTTACTCAAAAAACAAAAAAAAAAAAAAGAATTTTTTGAAGACATAGGACTCGCAAAAAAAAAAATCAAAAGACAACAGATGGCATTTGAAAAAAAATATTCAAACACTCGCATCAACAGTGAGATGAAAACACCTAAAATTTCAAAATGGTAAACAAGACCCCTTCCAACATCAGAAAAGTGACCGTCACAAAAATATGCTCAGTGTGCTAACATTATCTCCTTTATTATTTGTTAGCACCAAACAATCCTATTTCGAAACGAATCTTTACCGGAACAAAAATGACCACTAGTAAAGCACCCCCTCTTCTTCCACACACTCTCTCTCTCAAAGATATCCACAACACCACCACTATCCACTGTCAACATCAAAGATCCCAGTCAATGCAAGAGCTTCGAACCACTCAAATCATAGGTACTTGGGAACTGAGTTGTACATGAATAGCTTGGGATTGGCTCGAATAAAAGATTATTGAAATTGGTTCACTTATCAAACAAATCGAGCTGGAGCTCAATTTTAAAAGTTTATAAAATGAGTGGAGTTTGAGAAATGATTTGTTCAGCTCATTAGGCACGTGAACCTATTTTAAATGTTACGGGTATGTATTCTATAATATATATACATACACATGCGCAAAGATGTGCATACACATGTATGTATAATCAAGCTAGGCTTAATTTTGAACAAAAGACTGAAAATAAGTTTAAGCCAAAACACAAGCTCAAGCTCAAGCTCAAGTATAGCTGGTTTAATCAAAAGAGGTGAGGCAAGCCCGAGTTTAGCCAAAACATTATCGACCCAAGTTTAAATAAGATGTTCCCCCGTCCGCTCTCGAGTTGATCCCCAATACTCTTTGCAAAGGAAGAGCTGAGCCCAAGCATTCAGGTGCTTGGCTCAGTTAATTTCATTTGCATCCCAGTTTCTGGTTGGGCTCTGTATAAATGTGGTCGTAATGATGAAGGAAAAGTTGCGACCTCGGTGGCGGGGTTCTTGTTTTTGAAAAGATGGGCAATCATTCAGCCAGATGAGAGGGTGTGTTCCCATAGAGAGACGTGGAAGGGGAAAGAGACCGGTAAAGAAAGACAGATAGTGTTTGGCCTATTTGTCTAATTTGAAAAGCTTTGACCAAATTACAAAGTTTCAAAAAATTGTTTATATTGCCAAAAAATTTCAGCTTTTGTCAATTGTAAATATGTAATTCTCTACAAATTTTTATGACTAGGGTCTTCATGCCATTTTTGAAATATTAGGGTGTGGCAGAGTAATTTTTCAAATGTGTTGCCAAATATTTTCCAACAAAGAAAATCAAATTTAGATACAACCAAAAAATTCCACCAACATTTTTGGAGGAAAATAGAGTCATAGACAACTTCATGTCTTATTGCCAAATCCCGTTCTTCAAGGGATAATCTGAGGTTATTGTGATCTAGAATATCAGAGATGAACTCTGATAACAGCAAACCAAACAGGCGGTTTAAGCCTCGTTATGTTACACCCAAATGCAATGTCGCATACAAAGCATTATAAACACTGATCCTGGAGCTTGCTGCCTGAATTCAACCTTGGAAAAGTCCATGGCTATAAATTCAAGCACTGTTCTGACGCGAAAGCAATTCCGAAAGTTAAACATGTCCCTTTAACCACATAAGAGGAAGATCAGTTCCATAATGTGCTTCCAATGTTCAACAATTTGTGAGAATCCATCAATCCTTGACTCACGCAGTTGGTGTGAAAGAAATCTAAGTGTCCTTTGTTAGAGTAGATGTAAACCTAAAGATTAAAACATCATTCAAATTTTTTAATTATTTCCCTAGACATTTTATTTATTTTTTGGGATATTATCTCTAAGTGTTTTTAAAAATTTTGATAGTAGATATACATTACAAATATACTAACACTCTGATTTTAGAAACTTAATTATTGATTAATTTAAGTTTTGGTACTTTTAATCTCCTCCTCAAAGGTTGGCCACCTTTTATAGACAGATTTATTAAGGGGGTTCAGTTCCAATATGGCTCAAATCACGAATGGGATGGAAAAGAAAAAGCAGAGTCACAATTTACTGCTTCTGAGACTGGAGCCTTTCTTGACATTAAGCATGAGATGACTCAAGTGCCTGTACTAAGACATCCATACTCTACTAAAATCTTTGAGGTCTCCTGTGATGTATTTGGTATACGGAATGGAGGAGTATTGGATCAGGAGGGTCATCCTATAGCATACGTACAAGAAGAAACCCAATGAGGCTAAACAAAGTTACTCTACAAATAATAATGAGTTCTACACTATTGTGCAGGCTCTTTGCCATTGGTGGCAATATGTATTGCCTGAGAAGTTTGTGTTGTATTCTGACCAGGCACTAAAATAACTTCACTACCAAACTACATTGAGTGCTAGGCAAGCTAGGTGGGTTGAGTTCCTTTAGAAATACACTTTTGTTCTTCACTACTGAGAGGACATAGAGAATAAGCATGCTGATGCTTTCAGTCGAGTAGCTTCTGTTTTATAGACTGAGTGTCCATGTGTGCCCTTATTGCGACTCTTGTTTCATTTTTTAGGATGTTCGGGCTGGTAACTTAATGATTATGTTAATTTAGTATCAGGGACAATTACTTTTTTAGAGGGTCTACCACACAATATTTGAATGTCCTGTGAGGGCTGGCTGGACAGATAGGGCAAATGGGTCTAAGAAAACATTCAACTAAAGTTTAAAAACTGCATCACATCTTTGAATCTCAACTACTTTAGCATGCCCATTAAACATGCAGGCCATAATGCACTAAAAGTTGGTTTGATAATTAAAATCTTTGCTCAAGCATGGGATAATGAATTTGATAACAACTAGCAAACATGATTTGCAGGAAGGGAAATATGATAACTCATATAGTCGTTTTGATCAGCAGTCACAACCAACTGAATAAACAAATACATAAATTAGTTTAATGCAATTTTTCGACCTAGAAAATTCTATTAAGAATGAGAACTAGAAGTACAAAATTAAGAATCACTAAAAATCGCAGCATGGAACATATCTATTAGAGATTGTTTCTTCAAAAGGAGTTGTTCTAATGCTGAAAGACAAATTTATACAGCAGCAATATAATTAGCAGAACAGTGAACTGAATAACATTTCCAAAGAAACAAAATGAATTATGAACAGAGAATTCTAGCACAATATATAACCGAGGTAGAACTAGAACCAACTTAAGTCACTTCCCAGCAAATACATAACAGAACAAACAATTAGCATTTTTTTCTTTCTTTTCACCGAAGTTTGACTTGGGTAGCAATAATAAGACAATGAATAGACCTAAATCGAAAGAAAAGTAATACCTCCAGCATGGCCCATGCGCCGGCCAGGTGGAGCAGTGAGTCCAGCAATAAAAGCAACAACAGGCTTTTCAGTTCCACTTTCCTATTTCATTTTAACAAAAAAGCCACACGTAATAGGAAAAATATGAAAATCGCACAATATATAGATGAGAATGTCAAAGCAAGTACAACTAGATGGGTGTACCAAGAATTCTTGTGGAATACATTGCAAAGGAGTTTGCGTATTCATCTCATATTAATGAAATGATAAAACTTGACTAAATGTGGTGACATTAAATACATGCACAAATTCACTGCCCAAGTTGGTCTTGTCAAGCTTGAGCAAACCAAATTATATATCTACAAGGTAACTTCCATTTGATCAAGTAACTTTGAAGTCGCACCGAAAGTCCTCCCGGAATGGTGAAGTTGCCAGGCTGACTCTTTTACCAGTGCACCAGGTAACGCCCCAGAGATTAAACCTATATCCAGTGTACAACTTCCACTACCCTCAACAAACACGAACCAAACTGGATAATGACCCTTTCTGGACTTTTAGCTACTATGGAGAGTGTGAACTAAGGGATTATAAGCTGGTAGAAACCGTAACTCCATGCAGTGTTGGGCTAGACACACCCTTAAAGTTGAATGTGCACCACCCTAGGTGTGCATAGCTAAGCAGCATCAAACCTAATAGGCTAATAACATGATGCAAAAGAATTGCATCTCTGCCTAATCTACTCATTATAATCACAATGAGTGGTGCAACCAATATCAGCCTTTGAAATGAATTGAGTATGTTCATAGTTTTTCTACAGCTTGTAGATATATTTTTAGTTAAAATTTTATATAATTACGAGGACTCAGATAATTTTTATTTTCATATTGACCAAAATGCTCTGATAATCAACTTAACTAGTACATTCCAAAAGTAAACTTTGAGAAAAAGGGGGAAAATAACCGGTGATTGGTTTAGAAAGAATTGTACAATGAAACCATGTGAGAAGGATTAAACAGAAAGGAGTTTTACATTTACTACTGATGCTGGCATAAGACTAGAGTATCCGGATGGATGTTATGTACTTATTTTTGAATTGATGGAATTTGAATATTTGGGGATTTGATTGAATGCAACACGCATCACAATAAAAATGGTATTGTATGCAATCGTATAATTATTGAATGTTTCTGCACATTCCAAAATTCTTTTGATATTATGAAACACTGTTTTGAGGATGTTATGCACATCACCAATTACCACACACCCCCCCCCCACTTTTTTTTTTCTCTTCTTTCACCTCTCCCTCCTTGATTTATTTGTCAAGTTTGAGTGGATATAAATGCTTAAACATACACAATACCTATTTTAGGGTTCTTATCCAACCTCTAATGATACAATAGTAACTTACACCCAAAAATGCCCCGTTCCTATTCTCCACCCAATGCAAAGTTTCCTCCCCTCCGCCTGCTATTCCAATCCGATAGAGAAGGCTCAGGAACGAATCACCTCCTACTAGGGCCAATACCTAAAACTTCAGGTAAATCTGGTGTTTCAGACTGCTCTGTTGCCTGGAAGGGTCACACAGTCAGCCACCCCTAAGCAGAACAGATCTCAAAAATCTGGCACTGACAGACGGATCCTCAAAGCAAATACAAGATAATATGTACTAATAGAACTTCAGGACAACTAAAACCCACCCCTACCCCCAAATTTTCCAAGGTGTAACACGTGAGAAAAGAAAGAGAGAAGTGAAAGAGCTAAGTTTGTAAAAATGCCATAAAGCATACACAGCATAAGAAATGTACCACACTCTAACTGCCAAAAACAGTATCATCCATTAGAACTAAATTTTTGAAGACCCTGGCTCTAGTGCACAAAAGGAAGTGTGGAGGCAACAAGTAGATGTTCTGATTAATAAATGATTTTGGAAAGACAAAAACAATACTTGATGAAAAAAATTTAAAAGACAAGACAGAAAATACAAGTGAATAAAATACATGCCAAAGAAGAAAAAAAAAATGTTAAGGAGACCTAGAGAAAAAAAACTAACTCCATTCCCTCTTTTGGTTCCAATGTCTCAAAAGAGGAGGTAAAAAAAGGAGCAGTTGCCCTCCCTTTTCCCCCTTGATAAGTGCCATTAAAGGCTCAATGCTAAAAATGAAATGTTAACCAACTAAAAATTACTCCCAAACTAAATTTGTCTAAAAGTATAAAATTGACAGCTAATAAATCACAAGCAAGTCTGTTACATATTTCCAAACACAACATGTATTACAAATAGCCAATGCGACCAAAATCAAGTTGTAGAACAATGACCATTAAGCTACAAATTATATGTTTACAAGTTCACTATCCTTTGGAATTAAAATGCATTGCTGATGCCCCCCCAAAAAAAAAAATTCATTCTCTGGTGAACCATTCTAGCTAAATCATGAAATTATCAGTACAATCCTGTTCCTTTCAGCATAGAATCACTTCATCAAAAAAGACTACAAGACTAAAACCTCCAACTCAACCAAACCAATCAAGTGAGTGAGTTAGGCAATCCACTCCATTGTATGCAACAATAATCTCAACATTACTCACCTTTATGAGGGCAGCTGCGTCCTCTTCTGCCGTGCCACCTATCTCGCCAATGAGAATGACACCTGAAACACAACGACATGCAGCCTTGGATCAAGAGTATCCCTGCCTCCTTTTATACATCTTAAATGNATTTGTCAAGTTTGAGTGGATATAAATGCTTAAACATACACAATACCTATTTTAGGGTTCTTATCCAACCTCTAATGATACAATAGTAACTTACACCCAAAAATGCCCCGTTCCTATTCTCCACCCAATGCAAAGTTTCCTCCCCTCCGCCTGCTATTCCAATCCGATAGAGAAGGCTCAGGAACGAATCACCTCCTACTAGGGCCAATACCTAAAACTTCAGGTAAATCTGGTGTTTCAGACTGCTCTGTTGCCTGGAAGGGTCACACAGTCAGCCACCCCTAAGCAGAACAGATCTCAAAAATCTGGCACTGACAGACGGATCCTCAAAGCAAATACAAGATAATATGTACTAATAGAACTTCAGGACAACTAAAACCCACCCCTACCCCCAAATTTTCCAAGGTGTAACACGTGAGAAAAGAAAGAGAGAAGTGAAAGAGCTAAGTTTGTAAAAATGCCATAAAGCATACACAGCATAAGAAATGTACCACACTCTAACTGCCAAAAACAGTATCATCCATTAGAACTAAATTTTTGAAGACCCTGGCTCTAGTGCACAAAAGGAAGTGTGGAGGCAACAAGTAGATGTTCTGATTAATAAATGATTTTGGAAAGACAAAAACAATACTTGATGAAAAAAATTTAAAAGACAAGACAGAAAATACAAGTGAATAAAATACATGCCAAAGAAGAAAAAAAAAATGTTAAGGAGACCTAGAGAAAAAAAACTAACTCCATTCCCTCTTTTGGTTCCAATGTCTCAAAAGAGGAGGTAAAAAAAGGAGCAGTTGCCCTCCCTTTTCCCCCTTGATAAGTGCCATTAAAGGCTCAATGCTAAAAATGAAATGTTAACCAACTAAAAATTACTCCCAAACTAAATTTGTCTAAAAGTATAAAATTGACAGCTAATAAATCACAAGCAAGTCTGTTACATATTTCCAAACACAACATGTATTACAAATAGCCAATGCGACCAAAATCAAGTTGTAGAACAATGACCATTAAGCTACAAATTATATGTTTACAAGTTCACTATCCTTTGGAATTAAAATGCATTGCTGATGCCCCCCCAAAAAAAAAAATTCATTCTCTGGTGAACCATTCTAGCTAAATCATGAAATTATCAGTACAATCCTGTTCCTTTCAGCATAGAATCACTTCATCAAAAAAGACTACAAGACTAAAACCTCCAACTCAACCAAACCAATCAAGTGAGTGAGTTAGGCAATCCACTCCATTGTATGCAACAATAATCTCAACATTACTCACCTTTATGAGGGCAGCTGCGTCCTCTTCTGCCGTGCCACCTATCTCGCCAATGAGAATGACACCTGAAACACAACGACATGCAGCCTTGGATCAAGAGTATCCCTGCCTCCTTTTATACATCTTAAATGTTTCTGAATAGTTTAGCACTCAGAATCACAGTAAGCAATTAAGAAAAGTAACAGTGTGAAGGAATACTTACAGAAGAAATTAAAATGTAAGGACAAAGCAGAAGCAGCTAAAAGAAATTAGAAAAAAGAGCTGAATCATCATTTTTCACTACAAAGGACAATGAGTATGATGCCCGTTCTAGGCAAAATAAAGCAAGCCGATTTGAAAGTTGGTAGCATCAACTTCTATTATTGACATGAATTTTTGTTTTATGCCCGGAAAGTACCAGGTATTCTATAACGAAATTCCAAGTTTGAACTTCCAACACTTAACAGCAAAAAATACCTTTCCTGTTTAAGCTCCCGCAAAGCAGCACGTCGTCAAATATAAAGAGCAATGCTATTGGGACATAATGCATTGTGACCAATGAATTGATAGTGGAATGCAATTAATGCCGCAATGGGTCTCATCATTAAATGCATTTCACTATCAATCCATTGATCACAATTTATTATATCCACAAATTATGTCTCAATAGCATTAGAGAAATATAAATGTATAAACTATTAGGTTTCTTTCTTAATATTGTCCACAGACTGCCATTTTCTGCTGCCAACATTTATGTCGATGAGTTGGTTAATATCCATTTAAGGTTTGTATAGGGTTTGAACAGTTAGTTTTTTTCTGAATTTTTCACTTCTTAAGCAGATGATAAATACATTACCAAGAGAATCAGATCCCCAGTGTTATTAATTCAACTTCTATTTTTCAGCAATAAATAACTTTAATTAATAATATAAGCTACATGAGGGACGAGTAGTCCACCATACAAAATACAAACATACAAATTGTATATCACAAACATATTAGCATTTCTTCCTAATAAAGAACAATGGAATTTCCACAAAATTAAAAGCCTCCGAATCACAAAGTGATGTCAAGCAGCAAATTCTACCTATGAAGCAATCTTCCTCAAACTTATCTACAAGAATTCTAGCATTTCTTTAGAACCATAAAAATCCAAAAGATCATCAACACCACACATTTCCCAAGGATTTGTGCTTTCTTACTTTTACCAAAGCCCCAAAATTCAATCACAAAACTCAAATCCCAAGAAAATGGTGATACCAAAACACAATTCCACCCCCAAAAATAGTCTTCTCCATAAAAATAACACTATCGGACAGATCAGTACTATCAAATTTCTTATGAGCTGAGGCCACAAGAAAATTGGAACTGTTGTTATATGAAACGAGAAATTTAATTAATAAAACGTGAATAATACATCAAAACAGTTGGACAAGAAATCTAACTAATAAAAAGAAAAAGAAAAGCACATCAATCCTGTAAGTCACAACAACCTCTCCATCCCACCAAAATAGCAAAAAGCAAGCATCCTTTGAAAACCTTACTAACCAAAACCCAAAATGATGTTATGAAATGAGCACGGTCCAGTAAACCATCCAACCACTTGTTCAATCTTCAAATATTCTTGCATTTCTTTTCTTCCGAATAACCCAAAAAATAGCAATAATAGCATAATTCCAAAGAGCCGTTCTTTTATCAAACTACCCAAAACCTTCAAATCTTCAACAAACAAAAGATATGGATGAAGCTAGAATCACCCTATTCAAGCTCACAATCACCCTATTCAAGCTCACTAAGTTAAACAACTTATAACACAGCGACAAAACAATAGAACCATGTAAAAAATACTTTCATAATCACCGGTGCATATCACACACCGTTGAGGGGCAAGACAATTATGAGGCCTCCTGTTTTGAATCATATCGTTGCTATTAATATTACCAAGTGCAACAGTCCATTCAAAAACTTACACTTTACTAGGCACCTTAGCCTTCTAAATCATCAAAGCAGGGAAAAAGGGAGGACAAGAAGTGTCATCAATCTTCCTACAAAATCCAGAATCCAATACTGCTAGCAGGAAGCACTGCCCCAGAAGTTTCAGACATATGAGCATATGCCAGTGTTGAGCCTGATCAACCACCACAATGTCCACAAGTAGGACGACCATGGAGCTTCCAACAATGATCTCTGGTGTGTTTTAACTTTCCACAATAGTCACATTTCAGTTCACCTCTCTTAAAACCACCACTCTTGCCATCATTTACGGGTCTGTATTGCTATGGTGTCTTTCAATGGAGTTGCAACCAAAGCTGATCGGTCTTGGGTCAAAATTGAGAATCATAATACCCCTCCATCTTTCTTCTTGTTGCACATATGCATATGTTTGGCACCAGGAGGTAAATGGATCCCTGCCCAACACTTGAATTTGAATCTGGTCGTACTCCATATGAAAGCCCAGCCAAAAAAAGCATATACCTGCTCTTTTCCAATCATCTTTTAATATTTGACACTATGAACATTTGTGGAAAAAAGTCCAATTCCTGCCATAATCTGTTAAGCTTAAGGAGCCAAGACATTACCAATGAATTTTCTGAGAGCCATTGATTGTATGTAGAATCACATGACTTCGGTTTCTCAACTCCTCCTATCAAACATCCATTCATTCAACCCACCAGCCTGAATCAGTAACACACATACCGTTGACAATGCTAAATAGTTGCTCCCATCTAATTTCACCGGACTAATTTGAAGAGGCGGGTTACCTCCTAAAGTCCCAACACAACTCGCTACTTCCGACATGTCTACACAACAAATCAGAACGATCCACACAGCATCCAAATCGACGAGGCCAAGAACCAACAAAAAAACCAGAAAATCTGGAATAATTTGAACAAAAAAGGCTACTGGTAAATTTCACAACCCAATAGCAGCCCAAAACAGGGTCCCAAATGAGCAGGAGGATTTTTTTTTTATTATTGAATTTTTTCCTAAAATTGAAATAAGGGATTGTCAAAAAATTAAAAATTGCAGAAAAATTATTAAAAAATAGAAAATTGCAATCCAACTGATTAAAATAAAAAGTAATTATTGTATGGAGTATTCAGTCATCAAAAACAACTTAAAACTGATGCCGAACAGTGCAGCAATAGTGCACAAGCACATCCAATGTCGGAACAGGCCAAAAAACTGCTCAAAACTTCATCCAACAGCAACCAAACTCACCCAGAGTCCTCCCAGGTGTTACAAGCATGGTTTAGAATGCAACCCAACAAAAAAAAATAGCCTAAACAGCCCCACAACTCATAAAAAAAATAGGTCCTATTTTTTTTTAAATCATTCAAAATGGAAAACACACATCAAACGACACCAAAGAAATTACCACAATAATCAGGAGGCAAACACAAGTCGACTAATAGGCTCGCCATCGCTAGTTGTCCATACAGATGTTGGCATCAGCATGATTGGAAGTTCTAATACCAAGTTAGAAATCAACCCTAATTGGTGTTTAGGTTTGGTTAAGGAAGAAAAGTAGGAAGAAGAGAGAAGAAAAATAATTTAGGTTAAAAAGAGAGTTACCTCATCTCTCCTCTCCACATATATTTATACTATTAGAATAAAATGAAAATTGCAATGATGTCAAGTTCTATAATCTTTCATAATCTAACAATGTTCAAACCACCTAAGTTGATTCTCTCTTAAGTTATCTCGTATTGGTGTCAATTCGATATCATCAGCAAATAATATACACCATGGAACCTCGTTCTAAATATGCCTATTCAATCCACCCATAATTAAAATAAAGAGATATCGATTTCAAACAGAACCTTGCTGTAGGCCTACCATGATTAGGAATTCACTATCTTCCCTACAATTCTAACCAAAGTTACCACACCCTCATGCATATCCTTAATCATATCATATCAATATATTTATTTATAGCCCTTTTCTCTAACATATCCTTAATCATATCATGCCTTCTTTAAGTCTATCAATACCATATGAAGATCTTTATTTTTATCTCTATACCTTTTCATTAATCTCCCAAGTATAAAGCTTCCAATGTTGACCTCCCATGTAGAAATTCAAATTGCTTCTCCAATACATTTGGTTCAAGTATTAATTGTTACACGATTACTCCCTCCCAAAGTTCCATTGTATGGCTCATTAACTTATGGTATGTTTGATTGTAAGGATGAAAAATAAGAGGGATGGAAGAATAGAAGGTATAAACTTTCATCCATGAAGGAAGGTAACTCTTTTTCTCTTCTTTTTGTTTGGTATGATGGATGAAAAATTTGAAGGATAAATTTTTCATTATTTGGTATTAGAAAAAAAAGGAAAGGAAAGGCAAAAGTAAACAAATTTAATTTACTATTATACCGTTAAATAAGAAAATAATTTCTACCATGACATAAAAGTTCAAAGCACTAATTTGCTATATTATCGAATAAATATGCTCCAACAAATAAATATTTTTAATTTGACCCATATAAAAAAATGTGATTTTGGTTGGACAAGTGAAAAATATAAATGTGTTTTGTAGTGTTAAACATGGAAGATGGGTTCTAGAATGTGCTGGAAAGGGAATAAAAAAGTTCAGTTGCTTTATTACATAAATACGGTGGTTTGTGTGCACACATTAGAAAAGACAAGAAAGTTGGAGGGTATTATAGTAAATTAGCTTAGCCCCTACTCAAAGCCACCATTCTCTCTCTAGCTATCCACCCAAAAATGGATGGATTGAAAATGGTGGACGGCGGAAGTGATGCGATTTCGTCTCATTTTTCCTTTCCATCACCTTTTTCCTTTGAAACTAAACAGCACTTTCCATCCACCCAATTTTCCACCATACCAACCACAGTGTTAATACCTCGATAATTTGTGTAACTCCAAATGTCCCCTTTGTTTCTATATATAGATACTAAAATACTTTTCCTGCACTCATCCGACTTTTTCATGGAACAATTATCTAATTAAATAGTTTAGTTATCAAGATACCCCAATACCTTCTAAACATTTTTAAACCTCAATCGATTTGCCATCCAGTCTAAAACTTTTCCATTTTTCATTTTCCTTAATGCATTATTTACTTCAAACACCCTAATTCTACGAAAAAAACTTATTTTTGTTAGTCTCCCTTTAGTTATTATATTGTTCAACCTCTAAGTTTCATATATGATCTTCATTTAATAGTTTCTCAAAATAATTTTTTCATCTTTCCTTAATTTTCCCATTTTTTACCAAAACCTTCAAGTACTCATTTTTGCTACACTTAATGTGGTTAACATCCCTAGTTTTTCTTTCCCTTAATTTAGCAAATCTATATAATTTCTCTCTCCATCTTGTTCACCCAGCTTAGAATAAAAGCCATCTTATGATTTATATTTACGTTCTCTAACTATGTTTTTAGTTTTTTGCCATGTTTTATAACATATTCTTTTTGTTTTTACCGTACTTTGGTTATCATTATTCCACTACCAAGTTTCTTTAATTAATTGGTCCATTACCTTTTGATTTTCCAAGAATCTTTATTGATATTCCTTCAATATATCCTACCATCTTATTCTACATCACATTAGTTTCATCTTCAAATTCGATGTTGCTTTGTTTTGCATCTTATCCTTAAATAAAGCTAATCCTTCTCCCTCTAAATTTCACCAACTATTTCTTGGGTTTTTAACCTCTTTCTAAGTCTTGAAGGAATTTTAATACATATGTCTAATACCATTAAGGATCCCATCAAGCCCAAATACCATAAAATCACAAATCATGCATTAATAGTCTTGATGACTAACCAATTATACTCACTAAATCAAAACTGGATATACACCTAAGTCAAACTCCCAAATGAGACCACTTGCTGAATAAAAGAGGGAAAATGCCAATCAAAATAAAGGTATCCTAAAATGGAGATATGAAACAATACCAAATCCCTAAATGTCCCATACTTTCTTTTTGTTCACAATGAATATAAACAACTGCTCTACACTGTATGCATATGCTGTCCACAAGTGACAAAAATCTTGGTTGCCTTCATCCTAGACATAAAATAGAAGTTCTCGAGAGAATACTTCCCAAAAACAGGTCATGAAGAAAACATAAGCAGCATATAATTGTTGATTCCACCAGCTAAGAAGCACATATACTTCTATAAAGATGATGTATTACACACAAATCGGTGGCCATGTCCATAACTACAAAAAATAAAAATCTTGACTCCAGACACTTGTTTACACTTTCTTCTCCAACATGTTTATGATACTAGGACTAATAGGTCAAAAATGGGTTTGTGCCGCAAGTGTTGAATGATCTACTCTACCACATTTGGTTGTGTCTATGACTAAAAATAAACACTTGGTCAACCTTGGTCGCTGGTTAAAGTCTGATCAACAAATTTGGAAGTTGGCATATAACTTATACTATAAATAAAGCATTAAAAATATTGAACGTTTATCCAAATTTGGTGAAGAGTAAAAGTAAGACAAACTATATCTATAAAAGAAGAAATATGAGGATGCGCAAAATTATCATAATTATGTATGTTTACGCTGCTTTCTCTAAGAAAAATTGTCGATTATTGGCTATTATAATTCAAAAATCATATTATAGTGACAGATTTAAGTTTCATTTATCAAAAGATGCACTTGCACATGTTGACTATTTCTTGGGTCCACGTGTTCTTCGAACCTATAATTAATATATTCCTTTAATTAATTAATATATATATATATATATATATATGGCCGGGTATCCTAATTTTTTTAGGTTTTATCGTATCGTCGTTGCAAACCTCGTACCCGCACCCCTACCCGTATCCATATCTGTATTCATATCCATGCTTCTTAGCCCACCACAATTAAAATATCAACTACAATTTTACCTACTGACGTATGCATAGCAAATTTATTACTCAAGTTCAGACATTAAAATTAAATAAGTCAGTAGTGTTAAAAGCATCAAATCCCTTATATTATATGAATCACAAGATCATTCTAACAAATATCCTAACCAAATCAGACTAACCAGTGCTAGATTGTGGGTTTTTACCTTCCGTCTGGGGATCAACAAGAAACTTCTCTATGCAATCAACAAAATTTGTACCATTGAAAGGATCCCCACCAATTCCTACACAGGTCGATTGCCCAAGGCCAACGGCAGTTGTTTGGAAAACCTACCATATATATATATCCAAGTCAGTCACAAAAATGCGAGTTGTTTAAACTTAAACAAACCAAAGCAGGGTAAAAATTTCAGAAGTATCAGCATAATCTAAAAGTCATCTCATTGACCACTTTGTCACACCAAGTCCCCTAGCACCTGCATCCAGGTCTTGGTTGGTCCATGAGATGCTGACACAAAATTGCACATGCCTTGACCTTTATTTAAAAATTAAAATTGTGCGTATCTTACGATACACGATCCATGATACGATACACTATTTTTTAAAAACGATAAGCCTTCTGATACGCGATTTGACAACTATGTATACAGTAGCGTTCAAGCACACACCATCGTGTATTTAAGTTCATCCACACATAAGATTTATACCATTGGATGAGCACCAATGGTGAAAAGTGGACTGCTAATTAAATATTAAAAGCAACATTTACTTTACTTGTAATGTAAGAATGTCAGAATGTCACAGCCATTTTCTCTCTCATTAAATGCAGTCACTCATTATTTCTCTCTCCCACGTCCTTTTTCTCACTCTCTCACTTTCTCCCCCCTCTCATCTTTCTTTGTAGCTAATAGATATTAAAAATATCGACTTTTCTCATACCAAGTTTTAATCATCCAGNTCGTATCGTCGTTGCAAACCTCGTACCCGCACCCCTACCCGTATCCATATCTGTATTCATATCCATGCTTCTTAGCCCACCACAATTAAAATATCAACTACAATTTTACCTACTGACGTATGCATAGCAAATTTATTACTCAAGTTCAGACATTAAAATTAAATAAGTCAGTAGTGTTAAAAGCATCAAATCCCTTATATTATATGAATCACAAGATCATTCTAACAAATATCCTAACCAAATCAGACTAACCAGTGCTAGATTGTGGGTTTTTACCTTCCGTCTGGGGATCAACAAGAAACTTCTCTATGCAATCAACAAAATTTGTACCATTGAAAGGATCCCCACCAATTCCTACACAGGTCGATTGCCCAAGGCCAACGGCAGTTGTTTGGAAAACCTACCATATATATATATCCAAGTCAGTCACAAAAATGCGAGTTGTTTAAACTTAAACAAACCAAAGCAGGGTAAAAATTTCAGAAGTATCAGCATAATCTAAAAGTCATCTCATTGACCACTTTGTCACACCAAGTCCCCTAGCACCTGCATCCAGGTCTTGGTTGGTCCATGAGATGCTGACACAAAATTGCACATGCCTTGACCTTTATTTAAAAATTAAAATTGTGCGTATCTTACGATACACGATCCATGATACGATACACTATTTTTTAAAAACGATAAGCCTTCTGATACGCGATTTGACAACTATGTATACAGTAGCGTTCAAGCACACACCATCGTGTATTTAAGTTCATCCACACATAAGATTTATACCATTGGATGAGCACCAATGGTGAAAAGTGGACTGCTAATTAAATATTAAAAGCAACATTTACTTTACTTGTAATGTAAGAATGTCAGAATGTCACAGCCATTTTCTCTCTCATTAAATGCAGTCACTCATTATTTCTCTCTCCCACGTCCTTTTTCTCACTCTCTCACTTTCTCCCCCCTCTCATCTTTCTTTGTAGCTAATAGATATTAAAAATATCGACTTTTCTCATACCAAGTTTTAATCATCCAGTGAATGGTAACATAACTTTTAAAGAATGAAAAAGACAAATCAATTGATTTTGCTTCATATTTCGTCCAAAAATGAAGTCGCATTCGAATACTAAAGAAATTTGATAAGAATAAGACGAATTAGATTTAATATATAGATGATAGGTTTTGCTATTAAATAATGGATTAAATTTGTTAATTAGTTCAACAAATCAAGCCCAATTAGCATTAAAATAATGCAATTGGGACCAAAAAATTTAGTCTAATTTGCGGTTGACATAGTTCAATAATATTGTTGTAATTACAACTACTAAACTTTTTAACCGAGAGGAAAAAAATGAATTGGTTACTATCACTCAATGCCATTGATATAAGGACTTTAATCCAATGAGATCAAAACTAATTACCCTTTGAATAATGACCCTTCTTTGGCCATGTTCTTATTGCAGTGAAGTTTAAATCCTCCACTTCATGATTTTCCAATGTAAAATAGTTCCAAGTGAGGCATGTTTCTTGAATGAGATCACTTCAAATGCATTCAAAATTTTGCCATAAGAAATATATCACCAAGCACTCAGAGTCTGAACAAAATATAGTTGTGAATCAAATATTACACAAGATATTTACCACTTTGCTCTAAACAAAATGCTATTGATATAATGAAAGTGGGGGAGAAAGAGAAAGAGTATGAGAAAAGTTGATTTTTTTTAGTCTACTACAAAAGAAAGATGAGAGGGGGGAGAAGTGAGAAAGTGAGAGAAAAAGAACATGGGAGAGAGAAAGAATGAGTGACTGCATTTAATGAGAGAGAAAATGATTGTGACATTCTGACATTCTTATACGACAAGTAAATGTTGTTTTTTCATATTTCACCACCAGTCCACTTTTCACCATTGGATCTCAACCAACGGTATAAATCTCATGCGCGGATGGACTTAAATACATGATGGTGTGTGCTTGAACGCTTCTCTGTGTGTGTGTGTATATATATCATTAAAAAAATATATTTGATATATCTTTAAGAGAGGGGAGAATGAGATTTAAGGCTTGTACCAAGTGCTCTTATGCCTTGCCACATGTACTTGGTTGAGGAGTTTCATCTTCTCACAAGTGGCAGCAAAAAATTGAAGCAACTGTTGATATTCAAGAATATCCACTATAAATTACAAAATAATACAAACAAATCACTTCAATTCTTTGTGCATATAAACAGTGCTCCTATTTAACTTTAGGTACAAAGACATGACTAAAATACACTCAGGAATTATATAGGCTTCACACAGCCTCAAAAATAGAAATTCTATAAACTAACTCACATGAAGACCTTGATTAAAGGAAGAGGTTAGATATGGGATCTCTAATACCATCACACCCCCCTCCCCCCTCCCAAAAAAAAAAAGGCATCCATAGATTGTTAGGGCTCACAACATAGAAACCACATATAAGATTTACCAGCATCATTACTACAATTTAATAGAGACAACATCGACCCTCCAAAAAAGAAATCTCACCGCTTCATAAGTCAATGTGCCAGAACGAGAAACGATTCCAATACGCCCTGGTTTGTGAATGTACCCAGGCATAATTCCAATTTTGCACTCTCCAGGCTTGATTATACCAGGACAGTTCGGACCAATCAGACGAGTTTTCGACTGCTTGTTAAGAGCACTTGTCACTCGGACCTGCAATTAACAATTATCAACTCCACTATCAATAAGGAGAACTACGAATATACGACAACACAATAACTAGGGCTATTGGCTCTCTAAATGAAACTTTAAAGTATATTACACACATACCTGATAAAACTTCAGTTAAAAGAAAATAAAAATGCAGGACCTCATTCAAGTTGGAAGTTAAAAGCTAACAAAAATTTTAGGTTTACAAAATTAGCCAACATATGCACCATTCTGATTTCACAGTAGCATCATCAATCATGCTAATAATTTATGAAAATGTAATGAAATGAAGGTAACCCCTGAATACCTGAGGCAATTTAGGTCCTGAATTAATCTCAGACTTGACGCTTATTAAAACAGAAGAAAAATTCCTATACAAGGGCATAATAAAAAAATGGGCTTCATTTTCTCAGAAGAACCGGAAACCATAGATCTTCAGCAAACACTCAACCCAAAAAGAGAGAAACTGAGCTTTGACTTTAATAATCAATATAAAAGACACTTTGCAGACTAAATCCTAAAAAGGCCCATATTGTTCACACCACCAGATATTTCACCAATGTGTCTGCAGTTCTTTTCAACTTATGACAAGGAAACAAACTCTTGCGTCAAACTGGGTGACAATAACTAATTGCAGTAATTTTGGGCATCTAAAAAAGAGGTACTTTGTTCCACTTTGCTTGCTTTCTCTTTACCTAATTTTTTCATTTCATGGAACTTTCTTTTGATTTACGAATAGACAAAAAAATTGCAAAAGATAAAGGACTAACAATCCATTATATAAAGAGAAATAAAACCAGAACAATATTTAAAGCATCATTCTTGGCAAGGTAACCTAATGGCCACATCATTAGTCAACTGATGGACCAAAAAAAAAATTGCACACCTATAGCCAAGTAAAGTCATATATTTCACTTAGCCAATGCCAAGAGCTACAACTGGCCTGGTTGTGTGTGCCTCTTACAACGAGTAAATACCAGAGACTTAACTATTAACAGATATGAGACCATCCAACTCAGCTTTTTTTTTATGGGAATCCAACTCAGCTCTGATGACAGACCCTCACCATATGGCATAGAAAATAACTGAACACTATCAGTCAAGAGGTTCCTAGAAATTTCACATATTAGGGTACGCTGGGATTTCAAAATGGGCAACAATTGACACTTCAAAGGAGAGAAATTGATCCTAAAAACTATTTTGGAAGAGCACACTACATTTCAGTGCTCTGCAGTAAGGGTAATTGTAATACAATAAATTACAATTAAAACACGAAAAGATCTTGTGACTTGAATGTTTTCCGAAATAAAAAAATTTGCCCCCAAACGCTCTTGAAGGGGAAAAAAATAATAATTGGGAGTGACCATAAACACTTAGACTCAACTATCAAAATTCATTTCGGTGCATAGTTTCAATTATCTCGAAAACGAAAACATTTTGCAAATGATGCAGGAACAGAATGGAAACTGAGAAAAAATTTCAAAAAAAATTTCCAAAATGTTAACCGAAACACCTTGACACATCCAGAAACACCTTCGGGGCACAGTTGAATGTAAATATCATGAACGCGAGGTGCAGGATACCAGGCAAAGAAACCCGGGCAACCACTCCCTTATGTGCTGATTGCTAGCGCATCCAAGCCCTAGCGCCCAGCCCAGCTGGAGAGGCCTAGCCTGATCTGAAACACTTCAAAACATAGAAACTTTGTTATTCAATTATTGATTCATTTCCTACCTCACATTAGGGTACAACTCAACCCACCCATCAGGCATCAAAAATATATCCCATCTTTTGCATACCACATTCTCCTGAAAATTAGACCACTTAAACCTAGCATTTACCAATAGTGGATCAACTAATCCACAACTTCGAATAAACTGATTGAAGTCTCTCATTCTCCTAGTAATCATATTTCCCTCCATCTTTTCCAATACAACACTAATAACATTGAAATCTCCACCAATAAACCAATTAGGATTAGACAAACCAAATAAACTTGTGAGTTTCTGCCACATATCTAGCTCAAACCTATGACAATTAGGACGATAAACACCAATCAACCACCACTCCCTAGCATTCAAATTCTTAAACTTAACCAATATCATAAAACCTCCCACCCCTCAAATTCCCCACAATAAGGTTAAAAAGTCAATTTCTTAAATCTAATCCCCCAAACACTCCGAATAAATTTTATATTAATCCTTTGAATCTTGTTTCTTAGTACTACAATATCAAAGCAAATCTTCTCTAGAATCTCTTCAACACATCCTCTCTTTATCCTAGACCTCATTCCACTAACATTCCAACTCAAAATCTTAACTAATTCACCAAACTATCCCCAAGAGCAACTACCGACACACCTCCATCATAATTAATACCAGACTTAAGGTTCTTAAGTTCCCTAACTCATGCAGTCCCTAATTTGTTCATGGGAAGACAAATTCAAAGATGCGACAACCTATAAAATTTGGATTGCAACCAAGACAAAGACCCTATAGAACCTTGCATAATTGTCTTTGAGACTTATTCTTTTATTTTGAGTTAGGTTATTAGTATTATTATTTTTGTGTCTTTTTATATTCTAAGAGTTAAGGGTATTTTTCTAATTTTCAAATTTGTTGGAACGGATCATAGTATGACTTGTGATTCTAGAGTTTAATGTCCTAATTCTAGTTTATTTTAGTTTCCTAGTCTGTAAGTAATTTAGAGTCTTTAAAGTTCTAGAGTCTTTGGAATCCTAATCCTTTTAAAATTAGGCAATACTTGGACATCTAAATATAGAGATATAATGGTTTAATTTAATGGAGATAGAGAAATTTTTTCATAAACTTTCCGACAAATATATGCTATGGAAATTGCAAGATACAATTCAAAATCCTAGGCTATGGAAACCTAGCAGTGATTCCTAGGTCTCTTGTTCTTCTTCTTTCTTCTATTTTTGTGGAAGTATCCAAGTTATAAAAACCATTATTAGACTAGATATAATCATATTTAAAATCTTAAACACAATCTACAAGACCCTACCCATTTCCCAAATAGGTGACAAACCATCAAATCATAACCCATAAAGTAGCACATCCAACACAAGTACTGTTCACACAGCTTTGAATAGTGTTAAATGTTCGGGTCCACTACCGTCGTACATCACTAAGACCCCTCCTATTGACACTCTTTTTAGATTTCCCTCTCTTGTCTCCACCTACACCTAAATATGGCACACCTCTATATTTTTTCTTTCCGCTCTTCTTCAGCAATGATAGATTCATACCATCTAACACTACTCTCAACTTCATCCAACAATCCTCATCAACATTAAAGGAAACACACTGTTGTAAGTCTTTCAACTAGCTCTCAATCTTACCCCAGTCATATTTCCCCCCAATCTTATAGGCCCAGGAATTACCAAAGTCTAACTATCATTAACACAGCCATACTGACTCTCCTCAATAAGAAATTGGTCTCTAAGATCACCCCCTCAGAGTGCTCCTCACAACAGTTTGGCATTAAAATTTAATCAAAACCACATGCTCCAACAGTTTGATGATTACCATGCACAAAATTGGGAGAAGACTCGGAGACACAAAAACCTAACTTATCTGAGTAGACTGCAAGGCAAGGTGTTGAAATAAAGACACTTTCAAAATTTAAGACAAACTTTGCAATGTGCCGAAATAAGTACACCTTTAGAATTTAAAATAGGCTTTGAATACTCCATACCCAAACCATAACCCCCTCTCTCGGATGATTCTTCCAACAATAGCTTTTTTTCGAAAGAGAAAGAAACTCTACGCTTAGGCTCACAAGAAAAACACACCTCATTTGATTTCTTAAAAAGAACAATCGCAACCATCTCTTCTAAAATATTTTGGTTGAAACATCATCTTTTACATAAAATCTCTCTTGCTCCAATTCTTCAAACAGGTCCTCAACACCAAACATGGGTTCAACACCTTTAGATTCATCATCAGTTCTCCCATCCCAAATTCTCTAACTTCAATCCCAGCGATATCTTCTTTATACATTGATGATTCATCCGAACAATAGCCTAAGTTGTTGTCTTAAAACATTACTTCATCTATCTTATCTGCCCCCAATTGTTGCTCGAGAAATAATTAGCTTCAATTTCCCTCTCCACTTCATCATCATCCAAATCAGTTTCTACCATCACATTCATCTCTACACTCTCTTTTCCTTTCTCAAAACTCCCTCATACCCCTCACCATCCTTCTCTGCAAACACGATCGTGTCCACACCACATCAACTTAGAATTCCCGCGGCACTCTCCCCCATTGTGTCTCTCAACACATTTTTCCTAATATGAGAAAAGACAATTTTTCTTTATAAAATGTAGTCGAGTCAAACATTTTGGAAGATGGATAATGGGCCAAATCCAACACAGACCCGTCTCTAATATTCTGTAACTCTACACATTTGTCCAATCACTGCACATCTCTCTGGTTTCAAAAGCAACAACTTTTAATTGGGGATCTTCCATATGTTTAGGACCAATATCATAAATTTCTTCAGCAATGCTTTTCTCCCATTTTGGCCCAATTCACAACTGAAATTTCCCCCATAATAAGAATTTTATCTCTTAAACCAATCTATTTAAAATTCAAATTATTATTACCTCTCTCACAATCTAGAGATTTGCCCCTCTTAATTGCTCCTATTTGTCATTAAGACAAGGCTAAACTACCAACAACCCATTATTTTTGGCACAAAATTACTCCCAAATCCTCTCTGGTTTATTTTTTGGCCTAAAAAATTGAATCAATATATTTTTTGTCAAGAAAAATTTAGTGAAAATCAAATTTTACACTAATCAAAAGAAGTATTTGTTAGCATCCAGACATTCTAGAAAGAACTCAAAAGCAAAGTCATCTTCTTGTTTATAATAACATCATTCCTTCATGTGGTAGGAAAAGGCCACATGATTGATTTCTACCTATTTATAAAACAAAAGCTCTTTCATATCGATCAAACTTTAGTATGAACCAGAAATTTCAATCTAGCATTGCAATGCAAAGTCAAGGTTATTCAAGTTCCCAGATGGTTCAGGATGACATTATCTACATCATTTGCCACCACATTGACAATCTAAACCTTGGTTATACTTCTGTATAACCCCTATTTTTGTATCCAAAATGTCCCATATCTTAATCAAGTTTATTCCAAGGAAGCAAAGGTCCAACCCCTTCCACATAAATGGATTCATAAAGAGGTCAAATCCTTCCACATAAAATGCAATGCAATTGCAAAAACTTAGAGAAATAATCCAGTAACTAAGAGTTATATGTTTTAATTTTCTATAAGAGATATTGGTTTACAAGTATTTTCAACAGTATTTGACATTTACTTCTTATTGTTATTTTAAGAGCGGCAAGAATCAAAACCCTAACCTCACATCTCCCTTTAAAGCCATGCCAACAGTTTTGACAATAATTTTGTCATTTTATAAAGTTCCTAAGGCATATGGGATACATCACAATGCTTATTGGCAATAGATCAAGCCACTAAATTATAATATCACCAAACATAACCCGTATCTAAAGGCACTATAAAACAAAAGATTTTAACGTTCAAAAAATTGATCCCACTATACTAAATTTAAAGTTAATTTCTTTGCTTACATCATTTAAAATTAATTTCTACCTATTATTTTATTAAAAATAAAATCAATTTTTTCAAAATACATAACTCAATATAATTTTTTAACATGTGTATATTATTGTGTATGAATAATGTATGAAATAAAAGTTGTGTTAAAATACAAATTAACTAAATATTAAATGATTGAACATGTGTTAGAATTAGATGATGTGATATTTTTTGGGAGAAAAATATATAGTGAATAAAATTCAACATGCTAACTGATTTGTTATATAAATTTTCCCGCTCCAAAGAACAAAGGAGTTTTCAATTCCAACTTATTTTGGCTTTACACCTCGCTTTGACAATCACACAATGCATCTTAGCATGCGATGCCCAACACCCAAAAAGAACTGTGATTTACTGAACGCAAGCACGCACTTATCATGGATTCTTTTGAATCTTTTTCGACACACGTTAGTAGCTCATTGCTACAACTTATCTTTGGCTCGTCCCTATCTCTAAAGGGCCTTACTCACTTCACTAGCTCTTGTTGGTAATGGTTTCTTCATTCTTTAGATAGCAAGTGAAAGCTCTGAAATTCCATTCAGGTCCTTAGTTCTACTCAAATCGCGAGCAAAGCTCGATACTAAGTATCGCCACATTACAACCATTTGATCAAGAATGATTACAAAAATACATGTTACCTTTTTGCATGTTGAGTTTAAACACCATCCCACTTCAACTTAAAGTAAAACCCTCCAGCTAGGATATCCTATTTTGAATATAAATTATCCAGTTACCCCCACATTCCATAGAATGTAAGTCTGTCCAAACCCAATGTTGATGTGAGAAATGATTCTCCACCACTAAGGGGGCATCTTTTGGAAATGGATCCATGATAGATAAAATACTTGATTTAAGTTAAAACACTGCAAAGATAAATCTTTTGCATTGTAAAAGATATAGATAATGTCCAATAGCCATCCTCACATGAATTAAAAATCACCAACAAACCAACAATAAAAGCAATGGAAGTGTTTTCATCACAGATGACTTAAAATTTCCACAAAGACAATAGCTGAAACCAACCAATATGAAACTCATTTTCGGGGGGTGGGGATTTTTGGTGGAATTGTTGGCAAGTAAGCCTCCGCCTCTTCTTATCTTGCCATGCATGCAGGGGCGGAGCCACTTTTCAATTTCATTTGGAACAAAACTGTTCATATAGATTTTTGTATAGTATAGATTTGCCCCCACAAAGAAAAAAACGAAACTCATTCATTTAAATCTACTTCATAATTTCTCATATTTAGAATAGATTTTTTTACTCTCAATTAAGTGAACTTAAATAATGTTTAATTACTTCAACTTCTCNTATTAAAAATAAAATCAATTTTTTCAAAATACATAACTCAATATAATTTTTTAACATGTGTATATTATTGTGTATGAATAATGTATGAAATAAAAGTTGTGTTAAAATACAAATTAACTAAATATTAAATGATTGAACATGTGTTAGAATTAGATGATGTGATATTTTTTGGGAGAAAAATATATAGTGAATAAAATTCAACATGCTAACTGATTTGTTATATAAATTTTCCCGCTCCAAAGAACAAAGGAGTTTTCAATTCCAACTTATTTTGGCTTTACACCTCGCTTTGACAATCACACAATGCATCTTAGCATGCGATGCCCAACACCCAAAAAGAACTGTGATTTACTGAACGCAAGCACGCACTTATCATGGATTCTTTTGAATCTTTTTCGACACACGTTAGTAGCTCATTGCTACAACTTATCTTTGGCTCGTCCCTATCTCTAAAGGGCCTTACTCACTTCACTAGCTCTTGTTGGTAATGGTTTCTTCATTCTTTAGATAGCAAGTGAAAGCTCTGAAATTCCATTCAGGTCCTTAGTTCTACTCAAATCGCGAGCAAAGCTCGATACTAAGTATCGCCACATTACAACCATTTGATCAAGAATGATTACAAAAATACATGTTACCTTTTTGCATGTTGAGTTTAAACACCATCCCACTTCAACTTAAAGTAAAACCCTCCAGCTAGGATATCCTATTTTGAATATAAATTATCCAGTTACCCCCACATTCCATAGAATGTAAGTCTGTCCAAACCCAATGTTGATGTGAGAAATGATTCTCCACCACTAAGGGGGCATCTTTTGGAAATGGATCCATGATAGATAAAATACTTGATTTAAGTTAAAACACTGCAAAGATAAATCTTTTGCATTGTAAAAGATATAGATAATGTCCAATAGCCATCCTCACATGAATTAAAAATCACCAACAAACCAACAATAAAAGCAATGGAAGTGTTTTCATCACAGATGACTTAAAATTTCCACAAAGACAATAGCTGAAACCAACCAATATGAAACTCATTTTCGGGGGGTGGGGATTTTTGGTGGAATTGTTGGCAAGTAAGCCTCCGCCTCTTCTTATCTTGCCATGCATGCAGGGGCGGAGCCACTTTTCAATTTCATTTGGAACAAAACTGTTCATATAGATTTTTGTATAGTATAGATTTGCCCCCACAAAGAAAAAAACGAAACTCATTCATTTAAATCTACTTCATAATTTCTCATATTTAGAATAGATTTTTTTACTCTCAATTAAGTGAACTTAAATAATGTTTAATTACTTCAACTTCTCAACATGTATTTCAAAAATTATTTTGAGTCTCATGGTTCTCCCTCCTTATATCTAGTCTTCTTGCTAATTGAATGGTAGCAATGAATTAAGTCTCTAAACTAGATCTCTGAATTAAGTACATGTAGTAATTTTGTTGCTAAAATTTGCATTCACTGCAACAACTTTCTAGCTCCGCCCCCTGCATGCATGTTCTTTGCTACGGAATCCAAAATTTATAGTTAAGCGTTTTGATCAATCCCTTACTGCAAGAAAATCTAGCAACGTTTACACCAGCATATAAATTAATAAAACCTGACGACTAAAATCAACAAATGAAATCATCAAATCCAGTTTGTTCTTTCTTCCCTTCTTCCAAGAGAAGAAGAGTGGAATAGGTACAGAATATTAGCAAAAGGAAGCTAGGTTACCATGTCATGCTGAGGTATTCCCTCTGTGATGCACACAACCAGATCCAATTCAGCCACCATTGCCTCCATAATAGCTGCTGCAGCAAATGGTGGAGGAACATAGATCACTGATGCATTAGCCTTTGTTTCAGCCTTTGCTTCTGCAACCGTGTCGAAAACAGGAAGTCCCAAGTGTTCTGTTCCACCTTTTTTCGGTGTAACCCCACCAACCTGTTTTAAATCAAATGTATAAAAAAGCATAGGATCGACTAAAACCCTAACTCATCCATATAAGAATGCATAAAATATTTCCATCGTACAAATATTATGCTTGTATATATAATGATTACCATTTTGGTGCCGTATTCGATGGCTTGTTCGGTGTGGAAAGTGCCATTCTTGCCAGTGATGCCTTGGCAAATGACGCGAGTGTTCTTGTCAACGAACACCGCCGGTGGAGACGGAGACGATCCGAAATAGCGGGTCTGCGACAGTGCATACGCTGACGACAACGACGATGAAGAAGGACAGGGAGTGGTGGGTTTGCTGTGACAGAGTTTTGAAGACAGGTTAGCTATGAGTCTTGTGGTTTGTCGTGCCATCTCTGTTCCGCTCTCTCTCTCTCTCTCTGCCTCACGCTCCCCGGCGGCTGGTTTGGCGTTAGGTTTCTGATTATCGAGGTTAGTTAAACGGGCGGCAAAGGTTTTTTTTTTTTTTTTTTGGCTAATCTCATTTTGCACCCCAAAAAATACTTTGATTCTCAATTTGTATACTCAAATATTAAAAATCTTAATTTACGCCCACAACATTGTGTATTAGTGGTAAAGTGGACCTTGCTCAAACTCTTATTTAGTTTTTCATCGTAAAGTGGTGTACGTGATTTGCAAGTATTTTGAGGAATCTATTACCAATGTACAGTTGTTTTAAAACATATATACTAAAATACAGCACTTTTAAACTTATTTATCAAATTACATCAGTTTTTAAAAGCGGATGTAACAATCCCGTTTTTATTAGAAAGCAGATTTATCAATCCCGCTTTTTTATTAAAAAAAAAAAAAAAAAGGGTAGTGGAAAAAGCGTGGTTACTAACCACGCTTTTTACAATTTTCACACAAAAGAGTATTTCGTTTTAACATAAACACTAAGTAGTTTGATCCACGAGGTCTGTATTATTGGCTAGTTTTTGATAGAGATAGCTGTCAAAATGCCTGTGTTTCAACCTTCAAAGAGGGCTGGGGTTGTGGGGTTTGAAGGTGGCGGTGATGGGCAGGTGCTAGATCTGGAGACTGCCGTTAAAGATGGGGTTTTGGGTGGTGTTGGAGGAGGTTGTTTCGGTGTTGGGGTTGGAGAGAAATTGGATCTGAAGAAGATGATTGAAGAGCTCAATTTGCCAGAAGTTCCATCTGTGTTTATTTGCCCAATTTCCCTTGAACCTCTGCAAGACCCAATGATCCTGTGCACTGGACAGACCTATGAGAGGTCCAACATTCTCAAATGGTTCAACTTGGGGCACTACACTTGCCCCACTATTATGCAAGAGCTTTGGGATGAGTTGGTTCCTACACCACTTAATTCATACTTGGTTTTCATAGAAGTACTCGCAGATGAGGAAGAGATCAGAAGATGTGCAAGGGATAGCTTCCTGAACGAAGTGCAAAAAAGTGTAAAAAGTGTGGTTAGTAACCACTCTTTTTCCACTACCCACTTTTTTTTTTTTAATAAAAAAGCAGGATTGGTAAATCCGCTTTTTAATAAAAGCGGGATTGTTACATCTGCTTTTAAAAACTGTTGTAGTTTGGTAAATAAGTTTAAAAGTGTTGTATTTTAGTATATATGTTCTAAAATAGTTGTACATTGGTAATAGATTCGTACTTGATACGTTAGCCTCACATGATGTCAAATTAATCGCAAATTAAGAATTGCAACAATAGAAATACATCATCCTCATACTCGAAACACTTGTACTTCACGTACTTCAATTTATGACGAAAAACTAAACATAATCTGAGTTAAGTGTATATTGCTACTAATTCATAACATTGAGAGTGTAAGTTTAGATTTTTAATATTTAAGGTATAAATTGAGAATTAAAGTATCTTTCAGAGTACAAAGTAAAATTAACCTTTTTTTAATCCATCTATATCTATATCTATATCTATGATATAGGGCGTTTATATAATAGGTTTGAATATGATAAGATCTTTTTTATATCCTAATGCATCCAATCCAAACTCATTCATCCTCTTAAATTGAATGAGTTAAGGACTATATCCAATCCAAACCATTGTTTGGGAAAAAAAGGTGCAATATTATGGACCCCATGGATTACACCATTTATTTTGTACAAATTTACCATTCTATCCATGGAAATATTCAATCCAATCCTTTGTTTGGAATGATTGGTTAACCTACCAAGATGAAATATTTCACACATAAAATTTATACATAATAAATTATATACATTAATAAATTTAATATGTTAATATGTTTACATAATCAACTGCTATCTTAAACAACTAATGCACCAAAAATTAAGACATACATATAAAATACACATTAATGAATTTACTTAACTTACAAACACCTTCATACATCATAATAAATAACACATGGGTATAATGAACCATTTCCTTATACAAAAAAATGCACCAAAAAATAAGACAACTGATTTAATGTTCACCATCATGATATAAAGCCAATTCAACTTTGCCTCATATAATACATACAAAAATAAGGCAATCAATTTAATGTTCACTACCATAATATAAAACCAATTCAATGTTGTCTCATACAATACATACAAAAATTGGCAACATCATTGAAAATTTACCTACATGTACTAATGAGCCCAAATTTAACTAGGTCAGGCCCAGTAAATCAAGCAAGTTCAGATCTGTTGGAAAGACAGGCCAAACCCGGTTCATCAATCCAACTCAGTCCAAGATTCAAAGAATTCAAGAATATTAGAGCATGTAGGAGAGAGAATATTGGGATACCCACTCTCTAAGGTCAAGGCTATCATGATTGTACTTACCTTTTGTAATTATCCTCTCCGAAGAAATTAGTACCCTCACACTCACGTCATCGCCTCACTATGCTTATAAATTGTGAACTCTCTCCATTGAGAGGCACATCTCACCACACCTCTCTACTCCTTTCTACACACACATAGCTTCTCTCTCCTAGCTATTGTATCTCTCCTAGAGCTAACTATAGCTCTCTCCCCCGTTCACCCTACTTCATCAATAATGACCCTCGACCATCGTTGCCATTTTTCAGAGTGGAGTAGGTAATCCGAACTGAACCACTATATATCTGTGTGTTGACTCAATATTTACATTACTGCCATTAATTGCTTTATTTATTATTTATTAATTACACCTTGTCACACACTCGACTATTGATCTTACATGAGACAATTTTGTGCATCATCATGTGCTGTACACATACAACTCCCCAAGCTTAGTAAGCTAATGGCTTGTGGGCTTTACACTAAATAATACATATTGAAATGTCCATAGTAAATGGATACAATTTTTTGTACTTAAGAAATGGTCAATTGTCAATGACAATGAGATCTACCTTTCTCCCCAAATTCACAGATGGTGATGAGCCTACACTATCCCTTGGTTGGTTGTTTGAACTTGATGCATATTTTTTTTAAATCACCTCATAATAATGGAAGTTGGGGCATGAATTCAAACAATAGTTAGCAGCAAAATCATTTCCCTACATAATTCAATTTGATAAATATATAAACATTACACATTGTACAAATGCAAATAAAGAAAGTCCCTTACATACATATTCATTCCAATCATAACCAGTAATAATGTAAAGTACATAGATTCCTATATGTGAACTTCAATCTCAATTTCAAGTAGCTGACATAAGTAGATGCAGCATACCAATATCATTGAGTAAATTATCAATGAATAAGAGGCTTTCATTAGTTGTTATGAGGATAAACCCTAAGGAAAATTTTTTAGAGTTGCTTAAAAGGAACATAGATTAGAGTCAATGCTATGATTAGTTTCATATTTTGGAGTGTTCTTCTTGATGATCCACAAAGTCGATTATGTAAAATCAAATCAATGGAGTGTGTGGTGTAAGGAAATTAATGAAGCAATTAATAATAAGAGACAAAGATTGAATGGTTGGGTTTGAGTGATCTAACCACTAGAGACGACAATGATGGCCAGAGAACTCTATTAATGAAAGAGTACAAAGTCACAAGCGAGAGAGAGAAAATGCTCAAGGTGTAGTGTGTGTTTCCTATGTAAAGGATTTTCAATTTATAAGCACAAAGCCCTAGCTATGGCGGTGTCGTGAAGGTCAAGTTACTAATCTACCAGGGAGGATAGCTACAATTGGGGATAAACACTATTTTAGAGTCATGACTATCATGATGATTGCTCTCTCATGTGCTTTGACTCGTCCTAGATTCTTGAGTTTTGAATTGGACTGAGGCCATGAGTTAAGCGTGACCTACATTTTGATGATTTGAGTTTAACTAACGGACTGGGCCCAAGCCCAGGCCTAATTGGATCTGAGCTCGTCATTTGCCCCCCAAGCCCTAATAGTGATAATGGTTGAGGGCATGAATGAGCTCTTCATTTGGGTAGACCAAGGTATCTTGCTCCATACGGTGGCTTCCTTAACTTTCCACTATATTCCATTTTTTAAGCTTATTTCCTCATCTGGTAGCATCATTGCTATACACCCATTGTGCTAGTACCCAACCTCATCTGCTAGGTCTGCTATTAAATTTGAAAACACTCCACCCCTTATAGAAAAAATCCCATTTTCTTTCTAGGTGTCAAACTTAGGGCTTTTAGTAGGTTATATACATAGATGCATGAGTGAGCCATCCACATTCCATCTCTTTCTCCCCAAATCCTCCTTTATGATTAGAGCTCAGAGGTACCCTTCTTCTCCTTTGTTTTGAGAGTTCAATGAAGGAGTCGAATCATGCAAGTTAGAGGGAAAAAGACAGAGAGGAGGCCCATGGACAACAACATGGGCAACGTCATGGCCAGCGGAGAGGGTGACATTAGCAAGGACGCGATGGGCACTGGGCTAGGTGACATAAGAGGCAGGCAGACAGGGCATCGCTGGAGTGTTGGGTGACAACTGTGACATAGGTAGGGATGATGTTAATGACACCAAAGGGGGCCTTGGTGACACTGCCCGATTAGGAGACGTCGTCGCAGGCATAGGTGAGCTGGACGCCTGCACAGGTGTAGGTGCATGTGGGGCACTGGCCGTTGGCACTAAGATGCTGGGTTGTAGTGGACGGCTTCTAGCGTTGATGGAGAGCAGCAGGTTGACGTAGGTGTGCTGAGTAGCGAAGGCAGAGTCCTAGGCTTTGCCAAGGAGGGAAAGTGTGACGCCTTTTGACTAAGTAATGTGATTCTGATCGCCCTTTAATTCTCTCATTATTTTGACACCTTTTTTTTTTGTTACATTTGTTCTGGTTTTGACAAGTGCCCAATCTGATAGGGGTATGATGATGGATATTACACAAGCTTCGCAGTGAGGCAAGGGAGCTACTAAAAGTGATGGCTTGGAGGTAACCTTGATTTTTAGCTCCATAGATTGTGACAATGACATTACTAGCATTGTATATTCTTTCCATATTTTTCCTGCTATTTTGTGTCGCTAGGCCGAGAAGGATGAGTCGGTGTTTTATGATTCTTTTGGGGATATCATTTTCTAGGAGGATGTCCTAGAGGAAGGCTTGTCTTAGGGAGGTTGACTCCAAATAGCTAGAGGGTTCTTTTGACATTCTTCTATTATGGTAACTGGTTCAAGGTGAGGATATCCCTTCCCCTTTTGTGGAGTTCCTAGCGTCATATGTACTTTTGGAGAACCCTGTTCCCTATCAAGGATAGTACCATTTTGCTTTGAGGTCAGGGAAGTTGATCATTGGACTACCCTCCAACAGTCACAGTTGGAAGTCTAGGTTTTTCTTCATAGGAGGAGGATGGGTTACCAAGGAGGACCATGACTTAATGCCCTCGAGATGGGATACACCTCTGAAGACCAAGTTAGGTATGAGTTTTACCCTTGCTTTTTATGCTCATCTGTCATATCTTTCTTGTATTCATTGCATGTTTGGCTTCTTTGAAGCTTCCTTGCACTATCGGTGGAGCAAGAGAGTAGGCTCCAAGCTATGAGGAATCATCCTACCAAGCACTTTGTAACCCTTATGTTCGAGTCAGGTCACTCCCGAGCCTCCCCAGACAAAAGAGGAAAGGTACTTGGTTCTTTGGGTAAATTTGATGACACCTATAAATTATCTCTTTTATCCAAGTTTCGTAGGTGTTATTCTTGATAGAGTGATGATGAAGGCTCTCTATGCTTCTAGGGTGGCATTTTCCACTCCTCCCAAGAGGGCTAACCCTGATGCTCTAGTGCTTCTCAGCCGAGGTTTGATGGCCATGTTATTTCCCGAAGGGTGGGGTCTAGTGGTGCCCCCAATTCTTATTAGCACGTGGCCCCTTCGAGTACTAGGGTTAGCCCTAGGACTGCTTTACGGGTTGAGACTCTCATGCGGGCTTCTGTCAAGACTAGAGCTCCTCGTAGATGTCCTGCTTCCATTAGTGACTTGTTGTTCATGCTACAAGACATGAATTTGTCCAAGGAGCGGCTTTGGAGTTTTGTGACAGTTGTAGATATTAGAGAGGTCAGCTTTTGGGGTCTAGAGGGTGTCATTGATAACACGATGTAGAGATTCGTTATGATACCCTTCCTTTATGTTCAACCTTGATTTCTATACTTCTTCTTTTTATTTTTCTTTTTTAATGTTTTGCCTTTTGAATAGTCATAGGTGGTCGCTGCTTTTCCATGCCTTTTTTTTTAGGACAATCAATCTTGGTGAGGTATTGAGGCCTTTGGTAGAGTAGTGACAGGCCCACCAAGCTACTGAGGAGTAGTTGAATTTAGCTTATAAGGGAGAAACACCTCTTGAGACCAAGCTTTCTTAGTCCCACGAGACTGCCAAATTGAAGGCTGATAGGGAGGTTATCTACGCGAGAGCAAAGATAGAGTTGGGAGTGGCCTACGAGAGGGTATCAGGAGTTGAGGTAGACTACGGATAGCTCGGGAGAGGGCTAACGTAGTCGTGGCAGACCTATGAGTAGCTTGTGAGAGATTACAAGGGTAGAGATTCATTTAATTGAGATGGAGAAAAAAAGGGAGACTGTAGAGATGCCCGTCCATGTTCTAGAGTGCAGCACTACAAACACTTTTATTGACGGTTATGAGGAGTTTAGGGGGAAGGCCTCAACAACTTTTCCTGATATTAACTTTTATAGCTTCATCTCATATGAGGCACAAGGGATAGGTGGTGACAGAGAGAGTTTTGATGAGAGTGGATCGAGAAACAGTGAGCAATCGTCAAGTGTATGACAATTTTTATCTTTACTTGTCTATCCTTTTGTTGTCAGATCATGTTCTAATTTGTTTTCAAACTTCTATGGAATGAAATAAGGAAAATTCTAGACAAAATAATATTTGCAAAATTTTATTTCATAACTAAAGTAATCGATAACAACGTAAATAAATTAGCTAAAATCACTAATGTCATGAAAAAGCAATGAGAGTCATTGGTTTTTCCTTGCTATTGATAATACCTCTTTAGGTGTTTGCATATTCTATGGATGGGCTAAGACTTTTCCTCCAAAGTTCTGAATTCTATAAGTGTTTGGTTTTTCAACTTTTGTCACGATGTAGGGTCCTTCCCAATTAGGGCTTAGTTTCCCTTCTTGTGAATCCTTGGTAGATAGGATTACTTTCTTGAGAACGAGGTCTCTAAGCAAGAAAGAGCGAGGCTTCACCCTTGAGTTATAGTATTTGGTCATGCGTCGCTTATACTTTACATTCCTAACCATAGCCATTTTTTTTCCTCCTCTATCAAGTCAAGGTTGATGCAGAGGCCTTCTTCATTGGTGGTTGGGTTATGGTGTTGGACCCTCAAGAAGTGTACCCTGATCTTGATGTATGACAACCTCTATTCCATAGGCTAAGGAAAAAGGGGTCTCACCGGTGGGGCTCCTTGGTGTTGTCTGGTAGGCCCATAGTACTCTAGAGAGTTCATCCATCCATCATCCACCCACCATCCTTTGGCATTTTCCAACTTAGTCTTCAGGTTGTGCAAGATTGTTCTTATAGTGACTTTTGCCTGTCGTTTGTCAAGGAATGGGCTAGACTGGAGTGGGTTTGTTTGATTTGTATGTCAGCACAGAAACCATTGAGGAGTTAGTTGTCAAATTGCTTAGCATTTTCACTTACTTTAGCATAAAGTACTCTAAAATGGTATATTATGCTCTTCCAGATGAAGTCCTTCTCTTTCTGATTTGTTATTCTGGCTAAGGACTCAGCTTTCACCCACTTTGTGAAGTAGTCAATGTCTAATACCACGAATTTGCATTAGCCATGACTCATGGGGTAGGGGGCCTTAGATGTCAATCTCCCATTTAGAGAAAGGCCAAGGGCTCATGATGATGGTCAATTCTTCCGATGGTTGTCTTGGTACTGTTGTAAAGCATTGACATTTATCACACTTTTTCAAAATTCTTGGGCTTCTCTAATCATGTTAGGCCAATAATAGCCTTGCCTCATTGCCTTATGAGCTAATGCACGCCTTCTAGAATGGTTTTCACATATTTTCTTTTGGATTTCTCCAAAGTAAAATCAGATTCTTTCGGGAAGAGATAGTGGAGTAGCGACAGTGAGTAACTCCTCTTGTAAAAGGTGTCATGCAAGACGACCTGGTCACCCTTAGTCTTAGTTTTTTTAGCCTCAATTAGGTTTTTTAGGAGAGTGTCTTCTTCTAGATATTCCCAAATGGGTGTCATTTAGTTGGCATCGGAGGATGCATAGTTGACGTTATCCTCATTTGCTTTGAGCATACTTGGCTTAAATTGGTGACCCATGAGTATGAGGCCATTGGAATATTTAAGGATGCGAATTTGGCAAGCGCATCTACCATGGTGTTATGCTCTCTGGGCACTTGTTAAATCTAGAAATGGTTGAAATTTTTCAGCAAAGTTTGTACCACTGATAGATATTCTTGCATCTTTTTCTCCTTTGCTTCAAAGTCTCTTTTTACCTGGTTGACTATCAGCTGGGAATCACTATAGACAGTGAGACAGAGAGCCTCTATTTTAATTATAAGCTTCAAGCCTGAGATGAGGGCCTTATATTCTGCATGATTGTTGGATACGACAAATTGGAGAGATACAGTGTATTTGAGTGGAGTGCCATGGGACTAATAAGTACCAGCCCTGATCCATTGCACTCGCTACCCTCTACGTATAGTTTCCACCATGCTACTGCATTAGTAGATGTATAAGCTTTGATAGTTGGAGATGCCCACTCAGGCGCAAGAGTGTAGTCAAGTAGGAGGGCAGTAGGCAATGAGGGTGTTGGGGACACTAATGACACTGGTTCCTGGGCACCAGGCTCCCCAGGGGTAGGGCCTAGCCTTGATGCATGGGGAGTCCAGGGTGCAGTGCATAGTGTAGGTGAGCGTAGGGGCTCAAGACACTTATTTTTGGGAGCCACCCTCATCTATTGGTGTAGATTTGGCAACAAAATTTGCTATTGCTTTCGCCTTTATGGCCACTCTTGGTTGATACTGCACGTCGAACTCACTTAACTCGACGACCCATTTGAGGAGCTTTCCAAGCACATCTGAATTTCCTATGATTCTAAATGGTTGATTTGTGATAACCACGATAGTGTGTGTAAAACGCATGATCGGGTATTAATAAAATAAGATGAATTATGTTAATTGGCAGTGTTAAATGGTCGAAGTAATTGGGGTTAGTGTGAAATTTACGAAAACACATTAGGGGTAAAATCATCTGATAAGAATAATATCAGATCATATCAAGAATGAGATGGATTTTTACATTTTTGGAGAAATGATATTTTTAAATTAAATAATAAGTTGGTGAATTAAAAAAATTAAATTAAAAATATAATAATATAATAATAATAAAAACTCGAATTTGGAGGAAATTATTGAAATGTCACGAATCAATGAAGGTTTCACAACTTGCAAGGAGAAGTTGTCTTGCTCCTCTTCAATCTGGCCATGCAAGCCTTGGAACTTAGTTAAGGGGATAATAGGAGGCTAAGGGATTAGAATGAAGCTAAACAAAATCAGAAGGTTTGAGAGAGAAATCGTGGAGATAGAAGAAGGGAGAGAAGCTAGAGAGAGAAAGTTGAGAACTTTTGCTACAAGGCATCATCAACAATTCCGTGATAGGGTAAGCTTGTTTTCATATTCAGTAAGAATTTCCTAAAGTTTCTTTAATGGTCGTG